GTTACGAGCAACTCGGGATACGCCCAGAGTCACGGAACGGATTAAGTTCGTATCCCGAGGTGCCACTGTATATTCTTTTTAGGTTGTTGTAACATTTATTGTACAGGTAGTCCTTGACTTACAACCGCTATAGGGACTGTAAAATTCATCATTAAATGGTGTGGTCGTTAAGCAAGGGATCATGTGACCGCACCCGATTTTATGACATTTTTGCAATGGTCGTTAAGCAAATCACCATGGTTGTTAAGTGAATCATGCAGTCATTAAGTGAAACACATGGTTCCCCATTGATTTTGCTTGACAGAAGCTGGCTAGGAAGATTGCAAACGGTGTTCATGTGACCCTGGGATGCTGCAGCCATCATAAATGCATGCTGGTTGCCAAGCACCCAAATTTTGATCATGTGATCGCAAGGACACTGCGATGGTCATAAGTGCAAGGACCAGTCATAAGTCACTTTTTTCAGAGCCATCGTAACTTTGAACAGTTGCTAAACGAATGGTCGTAAGTCAAGGACTAATTGTGTTAGAGTCTTGACTTAGAGGAGCTCATCAGTAGGATTTTTACAGCTGTTTTCATGTCAATCCCGTTTAGGCTTTGGCTCTACTTTTTCTGCAGCGGAGGAGAGTGTAATGCTTCCAGTTGCTCCAGAAAATATCAGCAAGGACCCCAAAGTCAGCAGCCAGGCAAGAACAACCATCATAATTTCCCAAAATGTGCAGTAACATAGAAAATAAAAAGTTGGTGAAAAAAATTGAAAACGATTTGTTTGAAAGTTAAATGGTTGCTGCCTCTCATAGTGTTATTCATTTCATTTGTATCCCACACAGCAGTGTCTGCAGGCAGAAGCTCATACTTTTTTGGAATGATGAAAGCAGGATCATGGCATTGCATTGCAAGTTCCACCCCTCCTTGGTATGGGTACAATGTCATGGTGCATGTAGAAAAGGGGTGGGTCTTGTATTGTAATGCCACAACACTATCTTCATCATTCTCCCCCTCCCCACCCTGCAGATGCTTCTGATCCCATATTTGACTCAAGAAATTCAACATGGTGTACATTATTCCCTTCCTCCACCATTTTATCTTCACAACACAGTATTTGAGACCATGGTGTGTTTACATCATCTATGACTTATATTTAGAGACCTGATAGGAAATCTGAACTGCTGCTTGCCTTTGAACAGGTAATGTTTTCTTTGCCTATATTTTTGCTTTGTCTTTTCTTCCATTCACAGCAGGTGTTCCATGAATGCTTCCTGCAACCATGTCATAACAGTGGAACTTGCAAACAGGTTGGAAGTGGTTACGTTTGCATATGCCCACCAGGATATGCAGGTAAATAATACTGTTGCAATCCTCCCTAAATATCATGTTTTGACAGACATACTGGCTTGGAAGAAAAAGAAATATATTAAAAGGTATTCCATGAATGTTCAAACAAGGAATAGAAACATTTCCTGAAATGCAGTCCCACTTTTCCTTATGTGGGGCTATAGTCTAAAAATTGTGCATAAGGAAAATGTTGGTTGTAGCCTAAAAATTCAAGTAAAAAGTTTTAGGAGATAAGCTGTAAACATATTAGAATGTCTCTGGATTTGAAATTATGGCACATGCAACAGTCTTTCACTAGGTCAAAAATAGCCCTTCTGTGAATGAAAGAGGTTTTTCAAGAGCAAAAGAGAACTGCTGACTTCTTGTTACTAATCCAAAGGCTTGCTTTTTAGCTTCTGTTTTGTAACAATACTTCTCTGATATTTTTTCCTTCATTTAAATGTCTTTTTACTGCAGCATGATCATTTTTATGTCATTTTTATGCCTGCTACAGCTATCAGAATTTTTCTTTAGATACCAAAAAAAACCTGTTTAGTTATAAATAAACAATTTTTGTAGTTGAAGCAGTTTAACGTCATTTACACTAAATACGAAGTTTGCTATTATTAAAACTATGGCCTCTCTGAATATTTTTTCTTTAGACTGATGGCTGTCATGGACCCTAAAATTATTTGTAGCTCAACTATAGTGAAAACAATGGAACTTGGTGTCATGACCCCTTGGTTCTTAGTATAGGCTGATCCTGTACATATTCAGATATGGGCCCTTGCAAATACTGCTTATAATCCAGTAACACTGTATGGAATTACTAGCTTGATCTGCACTCATATATCAATGATGAGCAAAACAGAGCAGAGTCTAGCTATCTCTGCATTTTACAGAAGATCTAATTTAGCCAAATATTTCAGTTTCCTGTTATTTTAAAACGTATCAGTAAAAGGATACACCAACCTCATTATATTGCAGAATTAGCTGGAAATGAGGTGAGTAAATTTTTATAGTAAATGTGCTAGGAATAGGGGGGAAACAGAGGGTTGAAAGAAATCAAATACAAGAGAAAGCAAACAAATTTGTTCATTCAGGAACAGATTTTAGACATTTGGTCCTTAAAAGTCTATGTTTGAGTCTTTGTGTATCCAGACATATTTCTGATGCTGAATTAGGTTTCCCAGCCCTATTTGGCAGATTACAGTACCCATTTAACAGTAAAATGGGAAGCAGTTACAGGTTTAACTGCGCTCTTCTCCACGTGCAGAATTTGACAGTGCAGATGGATACAAATTTCACTGAGTTTGTCTTTCACCAAAATTTACACATTTACAGAGGAAGAACTTGAGATTTTTGAAAAGTAATGTGTAAACAGCACCACTGGTACATTTGTCTGTTTTTATCATGAACTCAGTTTTGTTTTGGTACTCAGATCAATGGGGGGATCAAGAATACTTAATTGAAAGATCATGTCTTTTGAGCTTTCAATTAAAAAAAAAAAAAGCCTAATCACTGCCTGTCAAGAAACTCAGTAAGAACCAGTGCCAAATAGGCTCTGGGATTCATTAGCGGTATGATTTTCATATACAGGTACTCCCCAGGTTAAGAACACCCGGATTACAGATGACCCTTAGTTAAGAACGGAGCCTATTGTAGCAAAATTCAAGTTAAATGCACAATGATTCAAGTTAAAATCACAAGGGTTTGAGTTCATTACACAACAATACAGTATTATACAATAATACTGTTATAGCTTACATACAAATTCAACTTAAGGACATACGTTGAGAACAGAACTTGTTCTTAAACTGGGGATTACCTGTAGCCCAGTTTCATATTCCTTTCTAACCTAGATTTAAATAGATTTAAATAACCCCCCTCCAAAAAAATTACATCTTATTTTTCTATTACTTGAAGTCTATTTGACATGTTTTGCATTTTTGGCCTATCCCAATATATTTTTCTTTGTGTTTTTTGGGGTTGTATTCTAGGATTAAAATGTGAAAAAGAGATTGATGAGTGCAAGTCATCCCCCTGTCTCAACAAAGGGATTTGCAAGGATGGCACTGCAGGATTCATTTGCCAGTGTCAGCCAGGCTACTCAGGTGACAAATGAACTAAAGCAATAAAGCTTCATCTCCAGGTTGCAAACTTTCAAAAAATTATGGCTCATATTTTTTGAGCTTGTGACTATCTTGCCTTCAGTATTTTGTTGATTTTGTAGAGATTGGGGTTTTTTTTAGTGAACTGATGAGAAACAGTTCAACATAACTTTTACAGCTGTGGTATGCTAGCATAGGAAATGATAATGTATGTTTATAAAGTTTTAATTATACAGAAATATCTGCATAAAGGTTTCTTAAATAAACTGTCAGTGGCTGCATTCCCAAGATAAGTGTCAAAACCTCCAGGATGCAGAATATTTGTTCTCTGTGGGTAGCCTTCCTATTAGGGAATGGATAAGGGTGGGCTGTCATGGGGAGAGCCTTACAGTATGAGGAAAATTGGGGCATGTTGCATACGTCTGGCTAACTTTTTGTGGCTAAAGGTGAATAGGAAGTCAGTGGGGATTCTATGAATGGGAGGACATGGATAAATGTCATCATTTGATCATATCAGGATTGTATGGGTCTTCTCCTATAATGTATTACCACTGTTTGTTGAACTCAGTAGCCAAAATATAATTATTATGTGTCTAGTGCAAGATGGTGGCTTACCATTAAAAGAAGGAAATGAAATGAAGCTCTCAATGTAGAGGATCCTTGCTGCAGTTCCCTGTTGTTTTTAAGGTGGCTAACTGAATTCTTTCATCTGTTTGTTTGGGCTTATTGCTGTAGTAATAAACTACAGTGCTGGATTGTGTCCACACTTGGTAAACGAGTTTATGTCCTCTTGATAAAAGCTGAAGGACACAGTACACTAAAATTTACATTATTTCATTCAGTAAATAATTCCTGTAATTGATAACAATGCAAGGCTCTGCTTGGAATTTTCCTAATTAGAAAAGTTTATAATGTAAATAGGATGATGAACACATGACTCACCCTGAAACCTCATTTCCAAACTGATAACATGAATGGAAAGAGCTATTTATTTATTTACTGAATGTATAGACTGCTCCAATCTGTTACAACTGGGCAGATTGCAAAATGCAACAATAAAAAAGCAAAGAATAAATCGAAGAATTGCATTGTCATAAAAAAAAAGGCCTGGAAAAATACAACTGTCATTCAGAAGATCAAAATTTCACACAAAGGATCTGTTACCCACTCTGACCCTGGGCCAGGTTTTTAGAGCTTGTTTAAATAGGGCCGGAATGGGAGCCATATGAATCATGTGGGGGGGCGGGTGATGTTCCAGAGGGCAGGTGCCATGACAACAATTAGGACAAAGAAACAAGACTGTTTATGCCTAATGAACAGGGTTGAAAAATGATTATTAACTGCTGTCCTGGAATTTTATACCTCACTGTTTTTAGGATTGTATCTTCCATGTGTAAGTCCATTGTGTGCATTTGTAAATCTGCATGTACACACTATTAATGTTCTCTGTAATCTTTATTACTCAAAGGTTTACTGTGTGAAGAAGATGTAGATGAATGCAATTCAAATCCTTGCCTGAATAAAGCAGTCTGTGTTGATGATATTAACGATTACCATTGCTTGTGTGCAAAAGGTTTCACAGGTCAGTCTATTTTATTGACAACCCTGTTAATATTTCATATGGCTCTCAATATGTTGTGTATTGTCTGCAAGATCTTCCAAAAAGAGAAAATTTCAACTTTCCAGTAAAAAGGGTTAAATAGATAGGGGTTATCATGTCTGACTTCCCTTCTCAGGTTAAAGAAGACATCTATGATGTTAAAAAAAAGGACAATATTTTAGCAATTAATTTACTATATTAGCAAAGTTAATTCTTCCGTCTCCAGCAAATTTATTACACTGAAGGATTACTTCACTTTTTTAAAAAAAAATTTGTTTGACTTATTAACTTGTTTTCTTTTCATCTTCATTCTTTTTAATATGTCAGAGCCTATAAAGTTCCAAAATTGCCTGATGCTGATGACACCTGTACTTATTCCTTGCCTTCTCAGGTACTTACTGTGAAGCAGAGATAAATGAATGTCTTTCAAATCCCTGCTTCAACAAAGCTACCTGTGAAGATCAGGTTGGAGGTTTCCATTGCAAGTGTTTACCTGGATTTATTGGTGCTCTGTGTGAAAAAAATATTAATGAATGTCTCAGTAGACCTTGTAAAAATGGAGCCACATGCAGAGATGGAATCAATGGTTATAGGTAAAAAATGCATGCATTAATTTCATTTAATGTAACACTATAGTAGCTCTGAAGATATATATGTTTAATAAAGCTAATAAAATGTATTTGTTTGCTTGCTTAAGATCCAACATAGCAATCCTTTAGGCCCTGAGATATAGCAGAATCATTGCTTTTGAAGTCTTATCTCCTTACTTTAGTCTTCATAAATGAACTCTTCCTTTTCTCTTATGAGTATCTGCTTCTATAAATGGGCATGTATCCAACACCATCTGGTGCCTTAATCCATGGATTGTGCTGTGGTCTCTACTGCCTGAATCTAGATCCATTCTTTATCCAGTTCCTTCACATTCTAGGTTATTTTATTTTCATTTTTATTTATTTACTCTGGTCTATGTGCCATTCCAGTCGCAGCTTACACTCCATATACAGTAATTGAGTTAAAAAGTCTACCTGCTGCCTAACTGTAGGCAGAAATGTAGAAATGTATTGGGAGAATTTTTGCTGGATTTTTTTTCTCCACAGTCCTTGGCTGGGTTCAGCCATTTTTTAACTCAGTCTTTCTTTTGCCAGCTTCTTCTCTACATCAGACTTGGTCCAATTCTGTTTTGCTTTCAGAGAGTTATCCTGTTGACAGACAGACAGACAACACAGGGTCCTCAGCCCCTTTCTGCTATCTCTTTCCAACATTCCTTTGGGTTGCAAAGTATAAACAAGATCCACAATTGCCAGAACTTGTAAGCATTTCAAATTCAGACTCCACAATTGATCGCAGGTCTTATTTTTTTCAGCTTCTTACCTACTCAGTCTTTGGACCTTCTTACCTGCTCAAGCTTTGCAGTTTTCCTCATATTAGTCCTTCATTTCACTTTAGTAACTTACCTTGTATTTTAAGCTAGAATGTAATTGTTCAAACTATAGTAAACAGAATTCTTTCATTTTCTTTTGTCTTCTCAAAGGTGTCACTGTGTTACAGGATATGCAGGGCCCCAGTGTGAAGTGAACATCAATGAATGTGAATCCAATCCCTGTGAAAATCAAGCAACCTGCATGGATGCCTTGAACTCGTACATTTGTAAATGTCCTCCTGGCTTTACAGGCAGCAGGTGTGAAACAGGTACTCAGGATCAAAGTATTAGCAAACAATAACAAACGTATCTTGGCAACAATTCTGCAGACTTGCTGAAACCAGATGGCTCCCATGAATATAGCAGACTTTGCAAACATTGGTATAAATAATCATTTATACAATTCAGCATTGAAGTCAGTCATATATAACCAGTATAAATAACTACATTAATTCAATACTGAAGTCAATCATATATAAAAAATAATACCGTGAAAAAAACATGTTTTGTATGCTTCCCAAAGATGGGCAGCCAATAAATTTAAATAAATAATAATAATAATGTTTAGTATCTTACTATTCCCCAAGTTGCAATTTCATTTTCTACAAAGTTACAGAACTTCAGTATTTTCTCTCTCTCTCTCTCTCTCTCTCTCTCTCTCTCTCTGTTTCCTCAAGTACTTGTTAATCAGCTGGAAAAGATTGTCTTCATTCCTTGCTTTGTGCCAATGTATTGTATCACCATTTGTGGCCAAATAACAAATTATTTAAAATAATATACATAGTCATGAAGAAAATCAATCCTTGTGGTTGTTAACAGTCAACACTGACTTGATGGTACACAGTCAATCAATCATAAACTTAATATGTCTTGGCTTTGGGGAAGAGAAAAGTTGATTGTCAATACAGTAACTTTTTCTCCTCACCAGAGCATATTAATTTCCTTCTACCACCCTTTGTGGTATCTTGAATGGGAAAAATAAACTCTAATCTGCTGTCATGAAATACTTTGATTCATTAACTATGTTGAGATCCATTGGAATCCAAACATATGTTTCTCCTAATAGACACAGTTACAAACATAGATTGTGCAACAATCCTTATGTAGTTTCCTGTCAGCCTTGTAAGGTAGTCCAGGCAAGAAGCACACCTGGAAGTACTAGGTCTAACTTTATTGTAAGGTTACATTAACAGAATCTTGCAAGTCTGAAAGCACATCTCGTACCCCCCTCGCCTTTGCAGTCCAAGGAACTAGGGAGGTTCCCTTATGAGATGTTTGCTATGCCCACATTCCTGCTGTGGGCTAAGCTGTATCTTATCTGACCATTGCCTAGTCTGTGGCTCTTCTTCCTATCTCCCAAGGCCATTCCCACATACCATCATATTCCCCACACATCCTCAGTATCCACCCTAGAGGTCCCCAAATCCCTTACAGCAGACAGGGAAAACAGGAGGCAGTCCCATTGCAGAAGTAATCTCCTGTTCATGTAACCTTGGATTCTGCTCATTATAATAAACTCCTCCTTTCCTTATTATCTAGTGAAAAGTGTAAATCTCATTAAAATCAATACAACTTAACATAACCATGTTGATTTTAATTTAACTTAATAATCCTTACTTCCTTATAGATTCTGCCCAAGTTCTGCTTTTGTCTCTAGTAAACCAGGAGAGATGGGTCTGCTTAACTCTTGCATACAAGATGAAACAAATGCAAAAAATAAATGTAAAGAACAAGCTCAAGCATTTCAGTTGCCACGTGGTAATGCTGTGCACTGAGGAATGTCAACATCTCATGATAGCACTAGAGATTTGAGCTCAGATGGTTCTTGGCCATCAGGGTTAACAGTCCAGTTTTGTGATATGCCTTCTAAGGCTCAAATATCTTTAGATAGAAGAATATTGGCTATTTCACATTGGACAAAGGAGATTTCCTATACAGAATCATTTTTACAGAAATTTGATGCTTAGCATTTTCTTAGAACCAGCCTATACTGTTTGTTTAACATGCTCTGTAATTGGAAAAGTAAGAGTTCCCCAAGTTCTGTCTTGCTTAGTTTAAAAATAAGCATTTTCACAAAGAAGCACATGCTGTGTTGTTTCTGTGTGTCCAGAGTCACAGGCATTATCTCTCCGGGTAAGGAATCTTCCTGTATTGGCCTTCAAGGACAGCTGAGGGGAGGGCATGACATTGTGCCAGAGTAAAGGCTCTCCAGTGTTTAGGCACTTTGAGTTTAATTAGGTATGCCATAGTGGAGGCAGAGTACCTGTTGGATTCATTGGCAATAAAGGTTGGGGACCTGGCTAGTTCTGATCGGTGCTCTGTGTCTGCTACATGCTGTTTAATGAGTGCTTTGACCTGATCATATCTCATGCTGAGTAGAAGACCTAGAGAGAAGCCCAAGGATGAGATTTTAGTTGCCACTGCCTGTTTCCACGTGGATTGAAAATCATCACTCATAGTTAATGGAGCAAGGCCAAGGGGAAAGAAAGGATAGTCTGAGCCAATAGTTGAGTATGGTCACCCACACTCTAGCCTCCACTTTAATGAAGCCTGTCTCTAGTCTCAGGGCAGCATTAGAGACACAATTTTGGACTTGAAGGGCTGATCTTAGAAATTTGGATTGTGCAAGTTCTAATGGTGCAAAATCGGAGAAGGGGCCCAGCTGGGCACCATAAAGAAGTTGTGCTATTGACTTATCAAAGAACTGAATATTTGTCCTATGTGTTGCAGAGCAGTCTTCTGGATTTAATCTGAACTTTGAAGTCTCTGGAATCTATGGCTACGTTTTGCTTGATGGTGTCCTCCCCTCACTCAATGAGATCACGTGCGCATTTTGGATGAAATCCTCCGATACTACAAATTATGGGACTCCAATTTCTTATGCAGTGGAAAATGGAAGTGACAATGCATTTTTGATTACAGATTACAATGGGTATATGAAGTAGCTACAACTTCCAGACTATGGTTGGGGAGAAGAGGCAAACTGTATTTTACTGCTTTATCAACCTATCCTCTTCATAGGTTACTAGAGCTTGTTTTTCACTGTGTTCAGTTAGAGAGTAGAGCATTACGCATTTTATATTCAGCAAGTAAGGAACCTATAGATTTGTGAACTATTTCTCTAGTCCATGCCGGTAGAGGGAACTCTACCATAGCTTACAACTTACTCCACCCTGCATGGCCCGTCCAAATCCTATTGGCCTTTCTCTTTTTATTTCCTTTTTTCTTCTTTTTCAGTTGAAGTTCAGAAATGTCAACAATCTCAGGCCAACCATCAAATTTTGCTTCGTTACATTCACTCTTACTTTATAATGAAGCCTTTCGAGCTGTTATTTGAGATATCCCCATTAGAGTATTAACTTTGTCGTGCAGCTGAGCTGTTTCAACCAAGTCACTTCCCTTTTTTTCTCTCTCTTCTGATATAGATGGGTTCTGTATGTTAATGGGAAGGAAAGTATTACAGATTGCCCTTCTGTGAATGATGGCAATTGGCATCATATTGCTGTAACTTGGGCAAGTGCAGACGGAGCCTGGGGAGTGTATATTGATGGAAAATTATCTGATGGAGGCAGTGGCTTATCTGTAGGAACAGAAATCCCTGGTACGTCTCCTTTCATATTTATCTAGTTATATTTATTTGCCTTGTTATTTTGAGACATTCTGACTGAAGGGATGTAAGATTCAGGTCTTATACATGGTCAACATATTCTAACAATATTAATGAGCTGTGTAACAGTATATTAGTGCCAGTATATTGTCACTAGCATATATACAGTACTATATACAGTACTGATAATAGGTAGTTTTACTCTATGCATTTATTTGTGTGAGTGAACCAGTATGAAAAATGTAGTATCTGAGACCAACTCAAAACCAACTAAAAAAAACAAGTTTGTTCAAGAAGATCTCAGCATCCTATGGAGAATGATGTCTTCAGAGAAGATTCAACACGTTATAGGAGATACAGTTTTGGCTCAGCTGCAGTACAGGAGGAAATGCTGTGGGAACGGGCTTGCAATGTGAGGTGATCACTTTCCCAGTGGTGAGAACTCCCACCTTGTCTCACCTCCCAGCTTGGCTCTTCCCTAATTCTGCACTATCCTTTCTACTGTACCCTGCCACACACACACACGCACACACACTGGAGGGAATGCTGCTGGGCTTATGGGGCATACTGATATGCAAGATCAGCATTAGTGAAGATGGACATAGGGCAACATAAAAATGCTTCAGAAGGTTTGGGGGTGAAACCAGTCACTATGTGGAAGTGCTCTTATTAACTTCTTTACAACTAGTAGTGAACTCATGTATGACCAGGAAGCAATGTATTTTCTACTTATAGGAATTATCTTACACCCAGCTTAACATATTACAGGTCTGTAATATTGTAGGCCTATTCAGACCAACACTGAAAGAATGACAGTCCGAAGCCTGTGTAGATTTAGCATTTCAATAAGGAGTAAAGAGAGACATATGGTTTGCATTTAGTCCTTTATGAGGATTTCAATACTTTGCACGCAACTTACAATGTAAAAAAAGGAATCATATGTTATAGGCATAATGATATGGCTGTTTCCCATGCATGTACTGTCTGTCCACTTTGATCTGTCGTAGGATACAGAAGGGAGACAGATGATTATCCCATCTTTTGTATTTCAAATTGCAACACATTCGTCTAATTTTATATAATTAAACATGAAGGCATCCATTCCTAACCACAGATTATATCAAAATAATCAAATATGTGTTGTGATGTCACAACACAAGCTCCAGCCTTCCATATTCATATTGCAATGACACAGGCAAGTATATAAGGGGTGGAATTTGCATCACAAAATTTCATTCTTGCCCCCCTTATTCTCCCCACGGACTTCTATGATTAAATGAATGAATTGTGAAAACTACATCTGAAGAGTTTGACATTTATATTTATATACAATGCCTACATCTATATACTCTGTCCCCCTCGGCGATCTGCCTTACAGTATGAAGTTGCTCCTAGAATAACAGAGTGCTGAATTCAAGTTCTTATTTATCAAATGCAGTAGCTCCTTCTTATTTTGTTTTCCATGTGAATAGGTGGAGGTGCATTAGTCCTTGGACAGGAGCAAGATCAAAGAGGAGAAGGCTTTAATCCAGCTGAGTCTTTCGTTGGCTCAATTAGCCAGCTGAACATTTGGGGTTATGTTCTGCCTCCTGAACAGGTAATATATTGAGTCTAACTTGGTTTTATTGAAAGTTCTTTTTTATTAAAGCTGTCTGCTGTTGGAGGAGAAGATTGGAACATAGGTGACAATAGCCAAGTTTTTTAGTTATATGAATTATATAAAACTAAAATTAAATACAGATTAATCAGTAAAGCAATTTATGAAGAGTCTTCAAGGGGATGTGCCCATGCTGAACATCATTCCAAACAGAAAAGAATGATAGGCCTTTTCCTTTTTATTTATCTTTTCATGAAGCATTCAATTGTACATTCTCTTGTGGCAGAAAATTATCTGCCAATTTCTGTGGCAGAACTTGATCACAGAGGTCTTGATCACGAGATCAGCTGTGGCCCCTTTGACCTGATGGAAAGTGATGGCCGTCATTGCTGCACTTCTGAGCAATAAGAGGGCCTCTCATTAAAGTGGGTCAGAGCAGGTAGCAACCCCTTGCCAACCTTGGCTGAGCTCAGAAAAACTTTGAAAAGCACCTCCTATTTACATGGAAGACCATTAGGCGGTAGGCTAGGTTAGAAGTGAAAAAGCTTCCCAGAAGAAGGCAGTTACAAACCACTTCCAAATACTGTAGTTGCCAAGAAAACTGAATTAATATGTTAATCACTATAGTTACCTTTTATATAAAAGGTATATAAAAAGGAAATGTAGAACAGCTTAGTTTGTTTAATTTTTTAAAATCCTTTTGCTATGGTTTCATTGTGGATACATAGACACATTTCATCTTAGCAACTTGTGTCTCTGTACAGTACACCTCCTTCCAATAAATGGAGGTCATCTGGTCTTTGTTATCAGCAAACACACTAAAACAATTATTATAAAATATAGTATTGTTGATACATCATCCTAGATTTTAAAATACAGTGAAAAGCTGGGAGCAGATATACTTCCTATATTTTTGGAGCCACCCAATAGTTTTATCAATAACTGTCTTCAGTTTTACAAAACTTTGAAAAAATGACAGATTGCTATCACAGCAGGACCTCTATGTTATTTTTTCTGGATACTTGAAACAAAATTGCAAAAGTCAAGGACCTAGAACTATTACAGGTAGTCCTCGAGTTACAACAGCAATTGAGACTGGAATTTCCATCGCTAGGCAATGTGGTCATAAAGCGTGATGTCACATCACCACATTGCTAGTGGCGGTAATCCATGCAGGCCCCATTCTGTTACCATCATTAAGCGAGGATCATGGATTATTAAGCAAGCACCACCTCACAACTTCCTGCTGGCTTCCAACAGCCAAAGTCAGTGGGGAAGCCAGCAGGAAGTTGCAAGCCCCAGGTGGCTTGCAAGCAGGCCAGCAGGCAGGTAAGTGGCTGCTGCCAGGTGGGAGAGGGAGCAAAGGGGTGTATAGGTGGCTGGGGAAGTACAGTGCAAGTGCAAAAAGGCTCGGGGAAATTTAACAGGGGATTTGTTGCCAGTTTTAGAGTTTTTCAGACATATTCAAGATTGAAAACTGCTACAAAGATATCTGAATGGAAAAATGTTTTTGTCTGAGCATTATTTTGTATTTTGCGTTTGCTTCCAGCGAATTGGTAACAACACAGACAAATGCATTTGT